AACATGAACGCCCCTGCTGTGAAGCAGGAGGAAAGGAGGGAGGAAAGAGTTCAAAACTTATTTCTAGTGGCAGAACAGGTTGGAAGATGGCTGTTTGATGTTATTTATTGTTTTTCGTTAAATCATCCTACAGGCTCTGACATGTTAGATAAATTTGAAAATGAGGTTTTGAAAAAATCCGTAAGACTTGAAAAAATCCGTGAGATTGCTCTATACATCCGTATGCCTGCAAAATGATGTAAAATCCTTGTAATTTATGGACAATCCGTACAAGTTGACATGTATGAGTTTACTGTCTTAAATTGTAAAATTAATGCTTTAATGGCAATCTACACCCACATATGTACAGTTTAAAAAAATAATAGTCTTAGCTTTTTTTGCAGCCTGTCATTTCAGTTTGTTCAAGCACCTGTCTTCCCGTGGTTTTTGCTTTTAGCTCCATATAACAGGTATTCCCCTCCCCCAGGCTGGGAAATTAAATATTTAGAAACCTGTATGCCTTTAAGTACAGACAGTACAGTTTGTGAACTGTACTGTCTGTACTTAAGCTGTGCCTGTTAAAAAAAAAACAACAACATATGACAGGCTAATGCTGGCTCACATAAAAAATCTGACAATTGATTTTTTTCTAACCATTTTTGTAAATGAAAGTTAAAAAGTACTGTCCCATGTACGTCTCACTTTAGGAGTTTGAGGAAAAATTTGAACCTGACTTTAGTTCTTGAAGTATAATAAAAAACACATGAATTTCCAACAGATTAAGTGATGTGTTGAAGCTACCGTAACTCATGATCCTTTCCAGATGTTTCCAACTAACTCATGYATTAGTAATGTTCTGTTGAAGTAAAAACTACAGAGTTCCTGCAAAATAACTGTTGTTATTTTCTAAAGAAGACAAATGAGGGTGCAAGCAGCTGCTTATATGAACTTTTCATTAATCTGGATTTTTTTTTAAACAGCAAAAATTTTTTTCTTTTTTTCTTTTTTTTTCTTTTTTTATTTTTTGGAAGTTGTTTCATTTTCTTAGTTTTGGTTTACTGCCAACAAAAGTACACCACACAATTTTTCTTGTTGGGTTGAGGCATTTAATGAAAGCAGACATAATAAACAAACTTTTTTTGTCCTTTTGTCAGTGAGGACAGTTACACTGTCATTGACTATGCTCTGAGGGACCAGATCCAAGTGACTACCTGCCAGTCTGAACACCTCAACCTGTCTCCGGTCAAAAGCCCCTCCAGCATGCTGAGCTCGCGCCAAGTCGGCACCAACCATCTCTTCCGACTGTGTTTCTGTAGCAACCACTCRGATTCAAAGGTGCTCATGGTCCTCGGAACAGAGCTGCTGTAAGTGTTTTTTTTTATCATTGCGCCGCCCCATTCTGTTGTTTTCTTCTCTTATATGTCAGTGACAGTTACASACTTACAACACATCTTTTCGGGCAGCAATGAATCATTTTTGTCTCTGACATAATGTTGCTCTGGCATGTTTTTACTTGTGCAGCRAATTTGTTTTGGTTTGCAATTGCATTTGATTCACCACTTTTTTATATACGGCAAAATAACTTTCAAGTGTTTAATAAGTCAAATGTCAGACTGCTTATCTCTGTGAGAAAAAAAACAGGTTTGATCAGATTTCCCTTCCAATACCATCTTTACGTGTCCTTTTAACTTGAACTTAGCAAATCCCCTTTTCCCTCCATCATTACCTCATTTTTCCTTTTGTATTTTTTCTCCATTTGATGTCTCAGGGAGATTTTCTTACATCTGCTCTGAAAAAACATACTAGCTTCACTAATGTGATTCTAAAGTAAAGCCCTTTATAAAGTTTTACTATACTGTAAAACAGACTTACTGCATCAGATAATTGTTTTGTTGGCTCCCTTGTTTAAGGGTAGCAAATCACTTTTGTTATAAATATGCAGCCAAAAAGTTAACTCACACTACAAGCTTAAAAATACATACAACTGTTTTTTTTAATCCTCAATTCTTCGTCTGTAGCTTTGTTTGGTACATTCAAATTACACCCTTCTTATTTCCATCTCTCCTTGTACAGCAMTTAGAGTAAAAAGTGAGGATGTTCAGATTACATAACCCACACAAACAAAAGGGATCTGCTTTACATTGGCCTTCAACGCAATCCTGCATGGTTTAAACTGTAATTATCTGTTATGGTTCAAGGCTTTGTTTGAGAGTGTTTTCATAGGCTCAAGGCCTGCTCGCTCTCATTCTATGGAGATGGATAACCTCACCCTGTATTCTAAACACAGAATCTGTGGTTTTCCACYGTGGACAATGGTTTTGTATGGAGAAATTCACTGCATGAAAGTGGTTAATGACTAAAATAGCACTCTTTTTATATTTTCACAATAGTTGCATCATGTGGTTGTTTTGATTCGGTAACAATAACCCACTAAAATGATTGAAAAAAAAAAGCATAATTTTTAGATGTATATCACATTTATAATAGGGCTAAAACATTAAATGTGTTGTTCAAAACAAAACTGAAAACAGACACATTGGTATTTATCCTCTTTATCTATAATAAAAAAACAGATAATTTGAAATTGGACTGTAAAAAGTTGTACAGAAAAAAATCAACAAACAAAAATAATTGCATGAATGCTATTTTATTCTGCATGTAATTCCATAATTTTATGTAAAGAGACGTAAAATTGATGCCAGTGTTGAGGTTTATGAATTGATATAACACTTTTAGGGGCTGGGGTTGATTAAAGTTGACACCTGAGTGGCCCTGCTCAGATGAACAACTTGCCATTCTGGTCCAAAATAAACTTCCTTTTTTTCCACACTGGGCTTTGTTCAAAGAGCCACCTAAAGCAGGTAAGACTTGAATTGTTCAAACCCTTTCACAGAACCCCACTTCAAAAACAAAACTGTTTATTTAAAGATACACCTCCTGTATAATTATGAATGGTTGTGGAAATCCTCCAGCCTTCTTCCTTTAAAAGTATCTATCCTGCTTGGTGTAAATGTAACGGTGCATGTCTACTCCCTGGAGTACTGAATGAACCAAAGAGAAGGGKGGGGGGGGGGGGGTCCCTGGAAAATATCCAGGGTTACAGTGGTAACTCGCTTTTGTTTAAGTTGTTGTCTAGCAACGGCCTAATCCTGCCCAGGCTGTTTCCCACGACTGTTCCCTCCCCCACGTTCTGCTTCTCCTCTCCCCCTGATCCTTCCCAACTGCCTTGTGTCTCCATCGTTTTAGAAAGAAGCCTGTGTTTCCTCTATGTTTGGATGACCAGAGACCCTTTCGGCTATTCATTCATCTCTATTTAGTGACCTAAACCCACTGTGACACAATATGAAGTGATGTATCTGCAGCCTTGTTAGGAGTTAAAAGAAGCTGTCTTTATATTACTGCCTCAAAAAAAAAAAAAACTTAGTAAATAAGTTGGCATCTAATAAGAAAAGCATAACTATTAAATTTTATGACACATTTTTTATGTATTTTGGTTTGGAAATGGACTGTGAGCTTATTTGTTTTTGCTGTGTAATAAATCATAAAACACAGTCCTGTGCAGTGTTTAACTTTTAATGAGCGCAAATATTTGTGACATTTTGTCTGGAAAAACCGAGATATCGTATTTCAAAAGAAGCTGTTCTTACATTTGCACCTAAGTCAATATTGTTCCTTTCAACCCGCGCTTTAAGTTCAGCTAAAATTCCAAAGAGAAATTCCTCACATTCTGACAAAAGGCAGTTTCTTTTTTCTTTTTTTTTCCTCGAAACGCGACAGTAGAGATGAAAATATTTTTTGGGGATTTTTCTGTGTGACTGTTTCTGCTTTCACTTCTGCTTCTTGACTTGTAAGTTTCTGTTTTATCCGTACGTGTATACCCTTCATCATGGTCTAATAAATGTGAGAATATGGGGGTGATTTTTGATCCTATATATGGGCTAATGTGTCAGGAAGTTCACCAGCCAGCTGGACCGGAGATGGCTCGAACACCTCTGTGTAGCTGCTCTTTGTTTTTCGAATAGTGACTTTTTTTATTCTGTCTTTATTCATAGTTTGCAAGTAACCATGTCTTCCTCCTGACCTTGGCTCTGTGTCCAGTCTGGAACTGGTGAATAATGTCTGTTGGAACAGAACAGCTACAGACGTCTGCAGCAAAACAGAGTTGTTAGTCAGATATTCAGCTCCGACAGAAACAGCACACATTATACAACAGCCTCAGAGGACGGAGGCATTGCTGTTGACTGCGCTCTCACCCGTGTCTGCTTTCATTTATAAAGTGATGTGAAAGCTGCAGATGGGAATTGTTTCCTCTGACTCAAAGTGTTACCGATTGTTTTGAGCAGACATACGCTGCGTGTTTTGTTGCGAGTCGCATTCCGTGGCGAGGCGTTTAGCTGAGAGCAAAAATAAAAACAATTTAAAAAAACCTGATCGGATGGGAGAGAAAGAGAAAGAGAAGCAGAGATGGAAACCAGTTGTCCGAGGAAGGAAGGAAGTTTAGAGACTGTCATCGCTCTTTATCTCCTCGTGTGAGAGAATCTTTTTTGCTCCTGCATGGAGGCGCTCTTCTTCTCTGGGGTGAAACCTGAACCTTTCACGGGGGGATTTATGAATCACGGTGGACCTTTGTTCTTTAGGATGGATGGTTAAAAGCCAGAGGAGGCTTTACAATGAATAGACTTATTCCACACAGGCCAGCAGTCATGGAGAGGGGAAGAGGGCAAACACCTGCTATTTGTGCACACACAGCGTTCACATACCTCACAAGCCTAAGTACGTCTCAAGCACTCCACTAATGCTCGACACGTAGAAGTATTTCAGCTGTTTTCGCGTGGTGAAGTGTTCTGCCACGACTGTTTGTTTTTTGCGCATGCATCTGAATGTTGGTGTGCAGGTTCAGCTGTCCAGGGTTGCAACAAACAGCTGCCATCCATGACAAAAAGATCTGATGAATGTGAGGAATTTCTAAAATTGGAGCTTAAAGTAGAAAAAAATGTTTTTATTAAATCAAGCGAATCGCATGWGCAGCTTATTCTCAAATTATTCCACTCACACAAAACTTTGATTTGAAGACAGCCATAAGTAACCCAAAGCCTATGTAGTAGATAAGCGGTTTCCTTGAAAAAGTCATCATCAGTCAACTTCATTCTCGCTTATAATAACCTGTATGAACAGTTTCAGTCTCAGTTTCTATCGCTCATTCTGTCCTCCTCAACAGACTAACCTCTATCAGCATATCTGTCTTTCCACTGGACTGGTTCAAATTCAAAATTTCTGATTGCACTCAGTTCATTTAGCAAGTTCTTCCATTCTCAGTCTTCCCCTATCTCAACCGGTGTTCCCCAAGGTTTGATCCTCGGGCCCCTCCTATTTATTTCTTACTTTCTTCCATTAGGTCACATTTTTTTTGTAAATTTGGTGTCTATTTCCCCTGTTTTGCTGATGACACCCATCTCTACATGTCTACCAAACATACGTAACAGCACACTCCCACCCTCTATCCTCACTGACCGTCTCAGTGAGCTCTATCATTTGTTTTCTAACAATTTACTCCAACTGAACAGTGATAAAACAGAGACCATTCTTGTCAGTACTGAAAACTTCATTTCAAAATCCTCACTGCCATGAGGAGCAGGGCTTTCAGCCACTCTGTTCCTCAACTCTGGAAATCTCTACTCTCTGGACAAAACATGACCTCTTTCTTTGTTCACGATTGGTCTGAAAACTCATTTATTTAGGTTAGTCAATCCATTTTAACTTCATTTGATGTACTTTCTCTATGTTCTTTTCACCGTTAGTTTTAACACCAATATTACTGACTCTTGCCGTACAGGGTCCTTTAATGTCCTGAAAAGTGCCTTTTAAATAAAATGTGTTATTA